ATTTACGTTACTCGGTTCGACTTCATTTTGTTTCCTATTTATGGTGTTCTCAACACTAGTACATAAAAGCAACATGTGCGTTTATCATATCATACATTATTCTAAGACGGGGTATGGAATGCTCGTCTGCCTCATTAATATTCATGACTAACAGTGGATATCCAACTTATCTTTTCATAAGTCATAAGTAATTGTGCGTAATAACCCATCAATGCAAGATGTGTATTCTTCGCGTTTTATCATTTTTCTTTTGATAATTTTATTACTCAGAGAAGAGTAAACAAATCCGCTGACCCTACAAGATTTAATAAAATAATAAACACCTTTTTTCAACCTGATATTTATAAAGCTATTAGCCCAGGAATATAATATCAACCCTGATACTTTCAGTACATCTGACAGAACACCAGTTATGATATGACCCAAGTTTCACTATTAGCAGCATCAAAGAGAAACATGAGATGAGAATGCTTATATTAACATTCTATTTCCAGATATGGCTGTTATATTCCCTAGACACACTCCCCGAGCAGGCTTATACTTTCAAGAAAATTACGATCTATTTCTTCAGGGGATGAATTGGCCCAAGTGATGCAATCAGATATGACACGTTACATGGTAAATTGTATTACTAAGATCTAATAAGCACAAAACACAGAAATAACCTTCTTTTTTCTTTTATCTTAGCACTTAAAGAATCTGGTCAGTGTGCATTACTAGTAATGTAGGATGATAGCAAAGTGTTCTAAAATGGAAACAGCACAAAGGTTATAAAGGAAGCTTCAGTCCAAACATTATAATTTATTGCTATGTGTAACCATTATCTACAATTTGACATTTTACTGTGTAAGACAACTGCAGTGTCTGCTATCATCCATGATACGATGAAATATCCGTATTTTTTTCCCTCAATTTAATCCTTAATGATTTCTAAAGTCAACTTATGTCACAATATATAAAAAATAAAAGCTGCATAATTTTTTTACAAACTTTATTCAATGCCTGAATGAAAATTATGTTCATTCGTTCTAAAAATTAACAACAAAAATTATCGAAAATTGCATTAAAATGTGCATTTGATATTGTGCCAACAATAAGATGGGGTCATATTACAATATTCAGAGGTTAAACCATTTACTATACCACGAGTCTACACCAGGGAATATTTCTGTATGAAACTGATTTGATTTTAAACCTAATCAAGAAACACAACTGTAAGTGGCTTTAGAGTGAAATAAACTAAAGCTGAATTACCTATCATATGAAGTTATATAAAGTTCAAACCATTTTTGATTTGCTTGTGAAAAACAGATTCTGTGATATATTTAGATTAATACTTGTGATTAATTTTCACTTTGCTTATGATTATTATAAAAGAAAGAAATTGAAGTGGAAAGCATGGTAACCATCAACGCTTGATCACTTAGTATAAAATATTTGTACAAATCATTACAAAAGATATTTTCATCGCTTATCTGTGTGGGCTGCTTGTCAGGGTTCAAGTGTTTGTTTAAAGTAAATGTGATATACTGGCCATATGGTGGTTTGGTGAGATTGATTGAATGATAGTTATTAATGGATGAAGGAATGTTGCATAGCTAGACTCAATTTCTCTTGGAATTAATATCAAATGGGTAATATGAAAAATGTTCAACTACTGGTATACATGTATAAGTGAGACGTCAGATGACAACACCCCTCCCGCTTGCCCATGACAATGTGATCACAAAACTGTGCATAAGACGACTTACATAATTGTGTGCTCACAAACAAACTAGTTCATACTGAGCCAAAAGTGTATACAAATTATTTAATGCATCTATTTTGTTGAAATACATTAAGTGAATCAAGTTTATAGCTACCGGTATATGTCCGTATTAGACCCATACTTTTAAGCCAGCTGGATTACAAACATTTCATCAAGTTAAAATCCTATTATATCGGTACATCACTGTTTTGAATTCCATTTTGAGAGCTCGCTAAAATCCTAAAATAGCAACCAACAATTTTAAAGTACAGGTACGTTTGATGTTTACTTAGACACAGTGGCTACATCAGTAAAAGAATCACTTTGTAAACAATATGTGGTTGAATCTCTCTTTAATATACTGTTTTTGTGTTTTTTTCAGGGCAGTGGTACAGTATATGGTTGTCTGTTGTCAGGGATGTGTCAGGGAAAATACTCTGAAGTTGGGGGAAATATACAGGACAGGCAGGATTAATATTGACATACAAATTTGCTGTAAAATCAGAAGGTTGTTTCCTCCTCATTTCCAACATATCACTTCCAAATTATCACATGACCAATCATGTGATATGCAAATTGCATCCAATTCAATTAGTCAGGACATGTTTTGTCAACACATTGTAAGATAATTATGTGGTTGTTTTTTGGTGTATTGATAGACTGGTGACTGTCCTATAAATTAAAATGGAGACACCTAAAGGCCAAACATGGAGGGGAAGAAAAAAAGTCTGCTGTGCATTAAGGTCAACATTAATGGGAAATGCATTGTAACAGTAAATCAGTGACCAATCTGATTAAAATCCAATGCAGGTATGAGGCTCCAATTTTTTTTTTATAACTCTATATAATATTTATTTGGGACACGATTTTCTAAGAACTGATTAACAGCAAGAAAAAACAAAAAATCAACATATTCAAACTAAAGTACAAATAAATATTATATAAAGGGTCATAAAAAAAAAAAAAAAAAAAATTGAAGCCTCATACCTACATCAGATTTTAATCAGATTGATCAGTGACTTGATGATGCCCAAGATGTTCAAAAATCAAACTTCTGACTAATATCTTACTACATTTTTCTTTGGATAAATAGCACAGCCTCAAATTATGGAATATTCAACATCACCCTTTAAACATTTTGTTTTGTTAGCTATGTAATTTTCCACTAAAACTGTCCCAGTTGTACATGGAGGAATACGTGTGAAAAAAACATTTGCACGCAGCTTGTCAATACGAGCCAAGCTGTAACAGGCTAAGTTGGCAGGTAACCAACAGTCTGAACAATGCTGTGTTTGCTCGTTCACAAATATCTATTTTTATGAGAAGCGGCTATAACCAGAGAAGGCAGGCGATTGTACTTCCAAGTACCGAGGCCTAGTATAGAGAGCAATACTTTTCTCTGAACAATAGCAGAAGATGCTGGACATCTACATCAGTAGAGTTCAATTAAAATGTGCAAATAAATTAGGAGTACGAATGAGAGACACAATTAGATTTCTTTTTAATGGTCATTTAAAATATAACAAAATCACCATCAATTTTTGTAAACCCTTTTTGTTCAATCGACTGTCAGGTACCTCAGGGAACAGCAAATGGTCTTATTTTCTTATTAACTCAATAAATCCAGGTCACAAAACAATAAATTCTATTTTGCTAAATTAACTGTTCGTGATTTGTTTGTCCTATTTATTGCCTTGCTTGGTATAATAACTTTTTTTTTTAGACTTTCAATAAAGTACTCACAAAAAAAGCCAGTATCGTTACTGTGTTTTCATGGCAGTAAAATTTCAATGAAGAAACACCCGTTGGTTGCTATGCTTTTAATGTCCAGGTATTTGAAAAGCATAGAGAACTGAACTTCTTTTAATAGCATTGACTCAGTAATTTGACATTGGCATATTCTTATGCAAAATCAGTGCCTAGCCACTTGATTAGGTTCACGGTGTCCTTCATTTCATACACTAAAACTCGACAAACCACTATGAAAGTATGACAACCTAGGAACATACAAGTTCAACTCCCTCTAAGAGAAACGCTATGTTCTAACAAAACACCGTTGATTTTTTGCATGGATTATAGCATTACACCACACTGCACACATCTCCCCTGCATAGAAGTTGTAAGGATGTATGGCGAACACTTTGATTTATCCTGTGTATTCAAGCCGTAAAACTCCTATTCACCATCAAACTCTGGGAAACCCTTTTGATATACAGAACAAATGACAAGGCGCCAGGCTCTTTTGTTTTCTCCACAACAAGCAAAGTACATTGTATTTGTGAGTTGCTCGGCGTGAAGGCGAAACTCTCCCGCACAGCACATTCAAAATCGCATCTTTTATGCCGCTGACTGCTTGTTTAAAACATACATATAGTCGCAAATATCACATGTGACATAACACAAAACATTGCTTTTATTAAAAACTTTGAGTTTAATCCATCTGATGTTTGCATAAGCGATCAATTAAATGATATTATTCTGATACAACTGCAATGCCACGGTAATGAGGTGCCAAAACCAAACCGTTTTTGGTGTCAATGTTAATCAAGTTACTTATTAGGTGTAGCCTACGGCCAAAACGGTTCGGCTCACATTCTCCCTTTTTTTACAATAATGAACAAAACGACAGATGTTAGAATTTGCTTGTATCCTCAATGTTATAAAATAAGGCAGAACTATGGTAAAACACACAGAAATGTTAATGAGCTAATATTGTGTTCGACAACAACGCAGGCCCGGTTCGACGTCAAAGAGTTTTACTCACCATTCAATCAAACGTGTTTCAATTTTATAAATTGTCAAAAATCGGAAGTAATTTCCGTTGACAGTAGTTCGAAACTTGAAACTTGTAGTAATCTGATATGCTGTGAAGACATCTGAAAAAGGATTCGACTGAGTTGAAAGAGTATAAATACAGAAATAGGTACCCGGACCCGAAAAAAACAGTCGAATTTTATATTTCGCGCGAGTACAGCGCGCGCTGATTACGGATAGCGAGCCATCCTTTAGAGGGAAACCCTCAAACTAAATTGGAGGGTCCTCGGCCATGATAGCAGACAGACTGTTAGGGAAATCCTGTAAACAACAGACCCGCGGTGTTCAAATATAACGGGGCATGAACAATGAAAGGCTGTAGTCACTTATACAATAGCACATAAGGCAGCAGGTGTGCGACCAACGGCGGTCTTGTGTCTGGTCGTTGATTTAGTCATTCATTCTTCAACGCATTGCTACTACATGTAGTAGTACTTACCTCGTAAGCATTTTTGATGTTAACCGTTTCCTTAGTGAGCGCAACATGTCCGACGATTCCTTTACCAAACGGCAAGCGTATTTCTTTAGCTTCTGAGTGTATAGAATCTTCCAGTGTTGAATTCTCATTGACATCAAACAGCTTCGAAACAAGCTGGCGATTTTCCTTGGAGCCTCTTACCAAAAACAAACTGCACCGATCACCGTTTGTCAAAACGCTGACGTTAAGCAGAATTTTGTGGCTTAATGAGTTAATATCTAATTCATTAGAAATGTCACGAATCAGTTCCATGAACAGTTCCTTTTCATTCATTTCTTTCAACACGGTACGACTTCTGCGTAACGTCTTTGGCTTTGGACTACCGCTTATCAGACTCTTCAACGAGCCCCCGGCTCCTGACATCGATTTCCGAAAGTGTTTCAAAATTGCGGCCCCTTTCTCCGTCTCTCCGATTGAGTCGGAGTCTGCAAACGACTGCGCGTCTTTGTGACCCGGGTGTTTAGCTACCCATTTTTCTACCATGCTTGCTGTAGCTGACGTCGAGAAATATTCCTCGGCGAACTGGTAATCGTTCTCCAAAAACTTCGCGACATCTTCCCTGGTTATCTGTTTCGTTCCCATGTCTGCAAGTTCGAGTAATCCTTCAAAATGCGCTAACACTTTCGTAAATGTCACTATACAGAGTCGGCAGAAGCCGTATCAACCGCTAGCCTCATCAGGTGCGCCACATTCGAAAAGAAATTATTGTTGCAGTTCGTAGCGAGATTCAGTTGCAGCAGACAGCAGTTAACGAAATCACTACTGAGCCAAGATGAGTGACACTCGCGCCGCGTTTAGTATCAACTAATTATCTATTCATTTTGAAGGTCGATGATTGGATGATCGCCAATGACATCATTATCGTGGTTACTATTTAGGAACGTGTAACATGAATTTGATTAAAATTAAACCTTGCGTGTTTTAAAATTAAAAAAATCCTGTATTTAGTCTCATAATAATGTATAGTGCTAAAATACACGACTGACTCATGTTTTGAATAATTGAAATGACATGGAGGCGGTAACAGGCCAGGTTTGCAGCGGGAGATGTGCAACATTCTCAACATCAGCTCTGTTCAATTGAAATCCAGACGACTAATCCAAATGACTAGTTGCGTTGGCATGCCAACGGAACTGTTGTGATCCCGTGGTATGGAAACGGAAATAATTTATTTTCAATCCAATTCAATCTGACCATATTTTTTCTCAGTTAACGAGAACATAGCTGAAATTAGAGAATTATGTGCGGAATTGTGTTGCGCTCATGCGGCAATCTGAAATTGAGAGTTTGATGCAGACTTCTCTCACACTTGCCATTAAATGTACAGGACGATAAAGGTACATTATGTGCATATTGAAATATACATTACATGATAACGGAAAGGGACAACGACATACTCTCTCGTAGTGTCTAATCAAAGACACAGGTGGTATGAAGTGTTTTTAATACACAGTTTAATTCCTGGAACACAAAATAAAGTGATGCGAAGGCAAATGAAACTGCAGCACTTTCACAAGGATGGATTGATTATGATTAGTAAACTGAATACGCCACGGTCTTCTTCACAACCAGTGGAGAACAGCGCCCCCAGCGTATGCTAGTGAGTATTATTGTATGACAAATCCTAGCTTATGGTAGTGACATTTGGCGAGACGAAAGCACATAAATCAGATGTTGGGGGATGTTCATCTACGTCTCTTGCGGTTCATATTCACAGGTAATAAAAAACACCTCCAATACATGTATTTATGGAGAACTGGTAAACAAGATGAGAAATACTCACCTTATAGCTACACCACATACTAGTAACGGAATAAGCTGGTGAAGGAAGTAACTTTAGTAAATACACAACAATAACCAAATTGGTCTAGTGTAATAACACCTCAGTTAACCCAGAGTCCCTCAACTGTAGTTAACCAATACTACACAACCAAACTCAATTGATTGAGACAAGCAAAACAATTACTAACACAGGGCTAACAATGCCCAGTCTATAGCAAACTAGAAATAAATAAAGTCTGGTGAAAAAGGGAGGACCTACTGGAAATTTCAAAAACAATTTCACACTTATTGTACTATAATAACAAATGCAGATATTCAAGAAATCCATAGCAAGTGAGTTTCGACGGAATAATCCTCATTTACTTATAGACAAACCACTTTTACTGAGGAAGAAATCCAGGCGAATCACAAGTCTTTCATGGTTTCTCTTAAAATACCAGCCAGAGTTGAGAATGATGACTTGCTGGCCGACTTTTTTTTATTCTCGTATGAGACCGAGTTTCTTCAGAAACTTGTTAGAAACAAAAAATTTAAAGAAGCTAAATCTTTTAATTTTACATTTAGATATATTGATGATGTCCTTTCCATCAACAATCCTAACTTTTGTGATTCGCTCCTATTAATATATCCCACAGAACTGGACATTAAAGAAACTACAGAATCAACTTCCTCGGCCTCATTACCTTGACATGTACCTCAAATTTGACAACAATAGTCATCTTTCTACCAGACTTTATGACAAAAGAGATGATTTCAATTTCACTATCATAAATTTTTCAATATACATGTACCTGTTTCCCCCCGCTTATGGCGTTTACATATCTCAGCTTATCCGTTATGGCAGAGCATGTAGTATGTATTCTGATGTTTTACAACGACATCGTCTTCTCTGTTTTAAACTATTAAGTCAAGGGTTTGTCATTTAAAAAGTTCTATGGCAAGTATCATCACCTGGTGGACAAGTATCATGTTTCTATGAAACAGATGATAATAGAAGCGCTGGATGTCAATTGTCTTGCACGAGGATGACCTAAAAATTCACCATTGTGACTCAGACAGATATATGGCGGGTGCCACATGTGGAGCAGGATGTGCCCACTCTTTTCGAAACACCTGACAGCACCTCTTGGTTTGTGCCTTGAGGTCCATGTATCTCTCACCGATTTGACAGTGCGTTGTTTGTTTTGTTTGTGTGTCCCCTGTGTGTTCTCGGATTTGTAAATATTGCCTTTTGACATTGATTGTTTAGATTATAGTTGGGTATTGTTGCTTGGATTTACAGTAACATATAATACGGGAGACAAACAATATAAGAAAAATGGAGACAAGGATATGTGAATTATGTTCAGTAAATGAAGTGGAAATAACATTTTTATAATATTATGTCCCCTATATATAAATAAAAAAACAAAACAAGATTCATTTGATGAAAAACATCATAGACTTTTCTAATCTGAACAATCAGTATAAATTTATAATGACAATTAAAACTAATAACACTTGCTTTACTCCTTCACTCACTAAATTCAAAAACAAAAATATGATATTGACAAAGCATCACCTTTCAATCACTGATGATTCATTGGTATTCATTTCGTTCACATTCTTTTACGGGACTAACAATTATACGCCCTCCTATATGAAACAGCTTAAAAATAAATACCTGGCGTGAATTGTAGTCGCTAATGTTAGTTATTTTTAGCTACCCAATTTCTGTTAAATCTTACGCGTTTCAATAAAAGAACCGATGCACAAATAATATACTAAGTAATATCATGAATGCATGAAAAAAGTCCCTTCGTCCGTCCCTGCCACTCGATGCCAACAAACTTGTAGCAGGTGGGATACACAATCGAATTTTATTTTGGGGGCGATTATTCAATCAGTATTTAAAAAAAAAAAAATATGGACGCAATGGAAAGATGTTCCTTTGCCGTCAGATTGACGTATCCGGGGCTGGCGCTGACCTTCATGTGATAGGTATTTTTGATGGTTAAAAACCTTTCACTTAGGTAACCGGAATTCGGTCGTTTCCACACTAGGCTGACAAAAACACACACAAGCTTCGTTCATGTTCCCAAACGATTCTCTGCCAAGTCCCTGGTTTTCACCCGAGACAGCATTAAATCACTCTTTATTTCTTGTCACTCCTTAACCAATTACAATCAGTATAAGAGACTCCAAGGCCTTTCCTTCCAACAAACAACCAATCACATGAAAGTTTTACACATCATAATCAATTAATTACTCGTCAAGCTTTCTAGAAAAACACTACTATATATTGTCAACACTAACTAATATTTACGGGGTAATAGTCTTGCACTAACATTCCACAAAGATACCGCCTTAGTTAGAATCGCAAACAAAATTGGTTTAGGATTACAGCTACTGTATTGTATCTTAAAAACTGCAGAGTCATAAGATGGTTTTGGTTGATTTCGACCAGCTCGCCATCTGGTCTTGTCATTAACCTTTATCAGTATATGTCATGGCAACCACTGTCAAACTGACTGAAATATAAATCATGACATTCAACTTGAAGTTGTTAGATTAACATTTACAGAAATCTCCAGAACGCTTTGAATAGATTTTACTTCACTATTCTTTCACTATATCCATCGATTCAGAACCAATCAGTGTGGGGGGAAATGGAGAAAAAAATAGCCCAGGGCACAACAATCTGATTACTAAAATCTGGTGTATTGTACGGCTAGAATTTAGTTTAATTTTAAATATTTTATTTATATTTTATTATTATTATTGCGTACATTTCATTTTGTAAATCCAGAACTGGATAATCTAGGGATTACAAAGCTACTAATATCACCGAAAAAAATACGTGCCGTCAGCAGTGGATTTATAGTGGTTGACATTTCGTAACAACGTTCAACGCGACCGAGTCTGTCAGCTATGAGTTGCTAGTGTGAGCTCCCTGGGTTGATGGGAACTGACTCTCATATACCATATACCTCTCTATAGACTCCGTATAGTGAGTTATAACAACATTACGAAGGCTGAATGCCACTTTAACTATCACTTTCGCGATTAACAAAACTGTACCAAAACTTGCCAGCAAATATACAATAAATTCAAATGAAATAAAATAAAATAAAGTGTATGATATCAATACGTAATTAAAAGAATATTCTTAAAAATAATAATAATAAATAAATAAAACCCAAACTAGGATCTTATTCTAATCAGATTGGTGGCTTCTTTGAGAAAAAAAGTGATAGTTATAGCCCCTCCCCCTTTTGAGATTAAGGGTAGGGCTTACAAAAAAAATCTGAAATAAAAAAATGACCTACAACACCTAAATGATGAAATGAAATGAAATTCGTCAGACCAGCCTCAAATTTATGTATATTATGAGTATTTTAGTGCAGTGCTGATGCAAATTTAAAATTATGTTGATAAATTAAGTGCGTACATATATCTTGAATTTTAAATTAGCGAAAGATAATTACAGAGGTGTGCGTTCAAGTTATAAAGATTCTTATAAATCGCGCCCCCTAGTGATGGAATGTTTCTGTAACGTAAAATCGGTGACGCTAATGTCGTTCAGGTCAACTGTAGTTTTTGATTGTGCAGTCGTTTTGATATTTAAAAAATACTATCATTCAAAAACATAATCATCTCCATGGATAGTCGATTACAGTTCAAAACGATATCGACGGTGTAAATGACTTCCGTATCCTTCATTTGCGTCATGGAATCGCTGTCACTAGAGGGCGCGAGTTATCATAGGAAAAGTGTGTTAGTTCATAACCTTAGAAAGAGATCTTTCTAAGGTCTATGGTTTGTTGGAGTAGAGGCCCGGGATCAGAGTAGGATAAGCACATTTCAACGGACTTCATTCACGTTTTATTTATAACGTTAAAAGTCAAATAAGGAAAAATACAGTAGGATTAGTACTGATTTTAGGACGTATTGTCACATTACCTTAGGACTAATAAGCTTCATTACAAGTT